GTCCTGTGGCCCCAGTACAAGCAAGATCTTGCTAATAACACTAAAGCCAGGAGTCCAAATCCAGCAAGAATGCTTGTGGACACATGCTTGGTTTCGATGCACCCCCACAGAATCCAAGTGTTAGAAGGCTGAATCCTCAAATTCACACGTCAATGTTGGGCCTCTAAGAGGGTTAGCACTGTAATGCTCTGCTCTTGGGAATTATTGATCTGGTCAACGACTTGTGGCTTGTCCCGGGAAAGACTTCGTTCTAAGAGCAGTGGTCTCCACCATGCTTTCATCATCTGATGTGCTCCACCATGGCAAACCATGATACGAAGGCCTTTACTAGATGCCAGCACTGTCCTTAGACTTCTCAGCCTCCAGAACTATGAGCTAAACAAACCTCTATGTTAGAGTAACAAAACATGTACTAAGACAATTTCTAATGACTTTCAAGATGTCTCGTGTTCTCTTAGCATTAGTAAGGACAAAAATAACTTTTCCAACACTCACTTTTTTTTTGCCTTACTAAAATAATTGGTGATAAGGCTTCCTTAGACAAAAGAGAAAATGATTTACTGGGAAAAAAAAAAAAACATGTGTTCATCCCCTGACCACCACTCAGGCCAGGGAAGATATTCCATAGAGGAAAGGTACTTTACCTCTGCTTTTGTTACAAGGCTCATAGATTTATGCAGCCTTCATCCACCCAGGGGGTGGGAGCTATGATACTGACCTATCCTGAATGTCTTTGGAGACCCTTCCTTGAGTGATTCTGAGTTTCCCTGGTTGCTGGCTATCACTCAATTGCTTGAGGATGGTGTAGGGAGCTGCGTGGAGTGACAGACCTTCGTATCCTTTTAATCATTCACCAACGTTCCTACTCACTGACTACTCACCTTTAGCAGCTGAGCTGTGACAGCATGCCACACCCTGACGATGCCTCGCTCACAGCTGCTCACGATGTAAGTCTCACTGATCTTGACAGCCAAGACGGCATCTTTGTGTTTAAATGTCTTCAGGCACTTCCCTGTCTCTATGTCCCATTCTGAAGGGGAGAGGATGACAGGAGAGGCAAAGGGAAGCGGAGAGGGTTACAGTGAAGTTCTGCTTCTTATCACAAAGCTGAGCTTACTGAATCTTCCCCAGAAACCATCACCTAGCTAGTATCCCTTCATGCTCACCAGCAATGACAGAGTCCCCTGAAAACCAGCAACACAGAGGGTCTTCACCCTTGGAACTGTCATGCTGGACAACCGTTGTGCAATAAGCCTGAATTATGCTTGCTATTGAACATAGTTCATGAAAATCAAGGCATGTCTAGTGTCATGACCCTTCCCAAGTACTCTCTTCCTGGCCCACACCTTCCATCAACAGAAGGAGAGTTGTCATCCTTTCTAGGTATTTCTGACTCTGACCTTGGGATTTTGTGGCATCATTTTCACTCTGCAGACTGTGTTAGAGCAACTGCACTATTGAGTTCCCAGGGTTAAGTGGGGATGGGAGGGATGGATATATGAGCAAATAGAGCTACGAGATGCTTCAATAGGGACCACAGATTCCAGGATGGATGCTGAAAGACCTACTCCACCAGCCCCCAGAGGTACTTTCATCCTGAAGCAGCAGAGCAAGTAACCTAAGAGGAAAATGGCCATATCTGAGACTTAAAAACCATGGTGGCAATGGCATTCATTCAGATGACTAAGGACATGGCAGTTGAGAGTGTGATTCCTTCAATGGATATGAGCGCTGTTGTTACCTATGTCCTTGCTCTCTACCTATTTCTGACAGGCAGTGACTCCCCAGATCTCTGCTTCAAAGTCAGCAACGTCCCGTCTCCCCAACACTCTTTCATAGTCATAACACCATTAGGTCATAGTCAAAAACACTTCTTTTTATCGGACCACATGAATACATTGGCCCACTATCGATAATCCAGAATAATCTCTCCATTAACTTAATCATATCTGAAAAAAATCCTTTTTTGCTTCCCAACATGTTTTAGTCTATACGTCTTTACTTTAACAAAATACCTGACATATGTATTTACAAAGAGAAGGCTTATTCAGCTCAAAGGCTTGAAGGTTCCAGGGCCTGGTACTCAGCTCTGTAGACAGATCTCTTGGTTGTGTCACTGCATGGTAGATGTGTGTGTGTGTGTGTGTGTGTGTGTGTGTGTGTGTGTAGAAACCTTGCTGAACTGGATACCAGAGAGCAACTGGAGCCCCATAATCCTTTCTGTGAACAGTGTCCCAAGTTGGTCCAAAAACATCCCTACCAGGCCCTGTGTCACTTCCATCCCCCACAGTTGTGACAAAGCTTCCAAAACATGAGGCTTTAGGGAAAACACAACCTAGCACAAGATAAAATAGTCACTAGTTCCAAGGGTTAGGGTGAAGACATTTTTGGCTTGGGCGTTGCTCTGCCTGCCATACTTGGCATGCCAAAACTGAACCATGGCCTTCTCTCTATTTTCTCCCTACTTTGTTCTCTCTGTGTAGTCTTTGTTATTTCCATGAATTATATTTTTATATGCCAATCATTCTGGGTTTTTAATGGCATTATTTCTTGCATTTATAGCTTTCTTTTTATATCCAGTTGTTGAGAGAGTCCTGGCAATTTCCCCTCTGGCAGTCTCTCACCTGGGCCATTGAATAGGAAGCTACATCCATCTGAGTTTCCTCGTGCTTGTTAGTTCTCAAGTATTTTGAAGACACTGTGGCAATTTTCTAGGGTGCAAGGTGTCTTAGTTTGTTCCCCATCTCCACATAGTCACCCTCTTCCAAGTTCTTCCAAACTCTCATCTGAGTTATCATCTAAAGTCCGTACTAGATTGTGTCAGGTCCACAGGTGAAAACACACCTGTGGCTTTAAGGTTCAGTTTTGCATCATGATACAGAAAGCTCTCTATAACTGGTCCAGCCACAATGAACAATGGGAAGTACTCACTACCCAGTCTTCTTCATCCTCCTACACATCTATCTATCCTTGTTCCCTCTGCTTGGATTATTTTCCACTATCTGCCTATGAAACTCATCCTTAAGATCACCCTCAAGTGGCATCATGCTGATGGAGCTTTTCCTAATTTACTCTTTTTTCTATGTTTCCTTTGCTCACTGCATGCAGCTAGAAGCATATGACTAAGAGCCAGACAGTCTTCAATTCAAATCCCTACTTTTTATCTTTGTAGCTCTGTTTGTGGCTACTTGTCTGCCTCAGTGATTATGATGGTGGTCTTAATTATCAGCTTGACAAAATCTAGAATTACCTGAGTGATGGGCCTCAAAACATGTATTTTTGGAGATTATCTTAATTACATTAATTAAGGTGGCATGATTCACCCACTGTGGGTGGTACCATTCCCGAGGCAGGGGATTCTGAAGTATTATTGGATTGATAGTTTCACAGATGTAGAAATATATGCACAAGTAAGAGAATAAGGACTGGTTATAGAAATAAGTAAAGCACAAGCTGAGTGAGGTTGAATGTGCCTGAAATTCCAGAACCCAGGGGGCTAAGATAGGAGGATCATGAGTTCAAAGCAGCCCAAGCTATATAGGAGGGAAAGGAAGAGGGAAGGGAAGGAGGGGGAGGGAGAGAAAGGCAGGGGAGGGAAGAAAATTAAGGCAGATTTCTCACCTTTTACCTGACCATCTCTTGCTCCAGATGCAAGCCTGTTCTTATATAAATCCAGGCAAGTGATTGTCCCCTGGTGGCCATAGAAGATTCGTATGCAAGACCCAGTTGTCATATCCCAGTATCTGCAAAAATGGGGAAAAGGGGTAGAGATTTTTCTGGTCCAAAGGATTCTACTATATAGGGTTCCTTTAGATAGCTAGATAGTCAGTAGGCAACAGAGCCTAGTTACTGTTAGCATTAGTAAGATCATCATCCTCACTGGAAAACCAACTCAGCAAGTGCAATGTGCACTTTAGGACTAGTAACAGAGGTGAACAGGTCTACTGGTCACAGATCAGCCTACAAAACTCAAAACCATTCCTCTCTGTCAAAAACCAATGTGAAAACACAAGGCTGTGGTGCCATTCAGAATTAAATATTATGAAGTTTAGTAAGAGTGTGCAGGACTGTTATAGAGTGTTTAACAGAACAAAGAAGGGAGCTGAGGAGATAACTCAGTAAGAAAGACAAGGGCCTGAGTCTGATGCAAAGCCTGATGTGCTGATCTGTGTTTGTAATGTGAGTTCTGGGGAGGAAGTGGCCCATTACAGGCAGCTCATTTCCCTTTCCCCAATGTCCAGAAACAAACCTGAAAATAAACCAAACCAAAGTCAGAGAAGAGCCACGAGATGAATGAGGTAAAGGACTTGCCCTACCAGATATAAAGATTCAAAAACCAAAGTAACTAAAACAATGTTGAACAAGGACAGGCAAAAAGAAAACTGAAATAGAACCGAGGGTCCAGGAACAGCAAGATAGAGATTCATCTCTCAGAATACAGTCAGTCATATAGATCAGTGGGGGAAGGACATTCTTTTTCATAAATGATGCTGAGACAGTTGGAGACACAACTGAAGGGCCTCTTAAAATAATAGGAGGTCATAACAAAAATGAGTTTCAAGTTGACTGGAGACCTGAAAATGAAAGGCAAAAATAAAATAACATAGGGCTTTAACACAGACACCACAAAGCCAGACATGATGCCACATGCCTACAATCCCAGCATTCAGGAGGCTAAGGCAGGAAGGTGGCCTTGAGTTCAAGTCTAGCCTGGTTACATAACTAGAGGCCTAAGAAAAGCATAACCCAAAGGTCATGCACACAGGCACCAGATAGTGTAGCCAAGATCATCTGTTCTAGAGCTAAACACCAGAAATAACACAAATATTCATCTGCCCACACACAAATAAGCTATGACTGCTGTGCACATCATATGGTGAATCTTAAATCCAGTCCAGGGCAAGAACCAAGTTGTTTTCAAAGTACAATTCCATTTATTTTGACTTGAAACATGGGTCTAAATAAATAGTTGATATTTTTGGAAATATATAAACATGAAGAAAAATCTATAAAGAAAGACAAGAGGGCCGGGTGGTGGTGGCACACGCCTTTAATCCCAGCACTCGGGAGGCAGAGGCAGGTGGATCTCTGTGAGTTCGAGACCAGCCTGGTCTACAAGAGCT